TTCCGTGGCTATTGATCGAGTGGTCAAATCGTCCTTCCGTCGCTCACGATCATTGTCCGCCCCACCATCCAGGGTTGATTTTCATTGGCGCGGTCGCTTCACAGAATTCCTCGTTTTTGCGGCGGCCGTCTTTTGGACAGCCGCCGCTATCGCCGAATGTTTGATCGGCGCCGCGTGGAGATTTCAAACGAAGCCGCACAGACATCTCAAGCGGTGCCGCGTACGCGTGTCCCAGGGCGGCCGAGCTGTCCGTGTTTGTAAGTTCGAACGTTCGTTAATTGTATGTATGTATCACATGTATAATCGTATGACGCGTGTCGTGCACGACCCTCGGTCTCGTCGTTACATCCTCCCCCCGTTGAGAGGGATCGATCAACGACTGTTTTAATTTTGTTTACGCATAAGAGACCGATAACGCATATTAGGATATCCTAGAATAATCGTATAATCGCATAATAATCGCATGCTTATAATAATGTAGCCCGTTGGCTTGATACGTGTTTTGGCTTGTGATAGCCCGCTTTACAATGAGTTTTTGGTGGTTGCGCATGACGCTACCGCTCGATTGGCAAGGGACATAAATATCTCGCCGCTCTTGTTAATTGTCCGGTTGAGGTTTTGACTGAGGCAGCTCGAACGATTCCATCCTCGCCTGGTTGAACCTCTGTCACTCTGCCCAAGGCCCACTGGTTGCACGGCAGATTTTTGTCCTTTATAAGCACGACGGTTCCCACATCAAGCTTCGGCCCATCCTTAACCCATTTGGTGCGGGTTTGGAGCTCGTTTAAATATTCGAGACTCCAGCGTGCCCAGAAGTCCTGTCGCACCTTGGAGATGTGCTGCCAGGTGGACAGTCGGTTTGCTGGAACACACGATAGGTCTCCCTCCGGAAGGGTCGTCAATGGTTTGCCAATCAAGTAATGAGCCGGAGATAATACCAGCAAGTCGTTCGGATCAGAGGAGAGGGTGACAATTGGCCGGGAATTTAAAATACCCTCAACTTCAACAACAAAGGTGTTCAACTCCTCAAACGTAAATAGTAAATCTCCTACGACGCGTTTAAAATGGTGCTTGAAAAGTTTCACGGTCGACTCCCACAATCCTCCGAAATGCGGCGCTACCGGTGGTATAAAATGCCATACTATTCGACGCTCATTCGCGAACCGATTTACGAGATTTTGATGCTCTTCCGAATTAAGCAAGGCATACAGCTCCTTTAGCTGATTATTCGCGCCTACGAAATTCGTCCCGTTATCGGAGTAGACGTGCGCTGGCAATCCCCGTCTTGCCACGAATCGCCGCAACGCCGCAAGAAAACCGTCCGACGACAAGTCACTGACGATCTCGAGATGCACCGCCTTTATTGCCATGCACACGAATACGCATACGTATACTTTGACTCGCGCTCGATTGCGGTGCTTTTTTTCCTTAATGAAGAACGGGCCGCAGAAGTCGACGCCGGTATTGGTGAAGGGTACCGCCTCGCGCACACGAGCCGCCGGAAGGCTTCCCATTTTATACTCGACGGCGCTGGCGTCGAATCGAAAGCATTTCACGCAAGCACGCACGATTTTTCGCACCTGATTTCGGCCGTCAATCAACCAATATTTTTGGCGAAGAATATAGAGCGTTGTTTGAATACCCGCGTGATGATGCCTTTCGTGAGTCTCGTGGATAATACGATCGGTCAAATTATGCCGGCTCGGGAGCAAAATCGGATGTTTCCTCGAGAATGCTAATTCTGATTTTTGAATCCGTCCTCCCACGCGAATCAAGCCGTCGCTGTCTATGAATGGGCTTAAGTTAGCTATTTTGCCCTTGATCGTGGGATTCTCGTTTGTAAGCCCCTTGATCTCGCTAGGAAATTGAGCGTTCTGAACGATTTTTAATATTCGCGTTTCCGCCTCGTCAATTTCCTTTGCGCACAACGGCCCGACACGCTTGTTAGGATGTCGAAATCGTAAACAGTACGCTACGATTCGGAGCGTTTTAGAGTAGGAGGAGTACCCGTCAAACATCCCGGGATCGCCCGACGTTGCAGCTAAGCAAACGTTTTTTCTTAACTCTAATACCTCGCTCGTCCGCACGAATTCTTTAGGCCATTCGCTTCCGCCCTGACACAGCCACGCGGGCCCCGCGAACCACATCAGATTCCGAATGAATGCGCGCGGTAATTGCCCTCTCGACAACGCATCGGCGGGATTGTCTTCCGATTTAACGTGCCGCCACTCGCATGACGTCGTAAGCTTTTGAATTTCCGCGACTCGATTCGCTACGAACGAATTAAGCAGGTGAGGCGACGTGTTCAGCCAGTGGAGAACGACGGTTGAGTCGCACCAGAAAAACGTTCTCGTGGGCATGACCCTTAGAGCGCCGCTCACTTCGAAATATAGCCGTGCCAACAGTAACGCGCCGCAAAGCTCGAGACGAGGTATAGTGACGGGTTTTAACGGCGCGACGCGCGACTTGGCGCATAGTAGCCTGACGACCGTATTCCCGCGCCTATCTGTCGAAAGTACGTACAAGCATGCGCCATAACCAATGCTGCTAGCATCACAGAATCCGTGAATCTGTATGTCACAAGCGTCTTCTACTAGTAACTTACGGCTAACGGAAATTTGATTTATTAACTCAAATTGATTTACGAAATCTAGCCATTCCGTGTAGATGTTTTGCGGAACGGATTCGTCCCAATCCAGCCGGCATCGCCATACATCCTGCATTATTTTCTTGGCATGCAACACGAGAGGGCCCAACAACCCTAACGGGTCATAGATTTTCGCGATCTCCGACAATATGTTCCGCTTTGTTAATTTCTTCGGAATTTTAATGTGCCGGGCGAAGTAACGCACCTCGTCGTTTCGCGCATGCCACGTCACGCCAAGAGTTTTTAAAGAAAGATCTCCGTCGAATGTAAAGTCCGTATGCAGCGCACTGACTGGCAGGTCATTAACAACGCGTTCGTCATTGGAAGCCCATTTCCTAATCGCGAAGCCGCCCCGAGCTAACAACGCGATTATTTCATCTCGATACGCTCGGGCCTCTTCGACGCTATCGGCTCCGGTTAGCAGGTCGTCCACGTATAGATGCGCTTTAATGATTTCCGCCGCTCTAGGGTACACGTGGCGTTCGTCATCGGCTAGTTTTTGTAATGTTCGAATCGCGAGAAATGATGACGATGAAACGCCAAATGTTAGCGTATTAAACTGAAACGTTTGGACTTCACCGTCTTTACGCCAAAGGATTCTTTGATACCGCCGGTCATCCTCGTGCAATAATATTTGCAAATACATTTTTTCGATATCCGCGGTGACTACATATTTGTACATGCGAAACCGAATTAAGTGCGAAAATAATTTATCTTGAATTATAGGCCCTACCATCAAGACGTCGTTCAAAGACACGCCATTATTCGCTTTCGCGGAAGCATCGAAAACTATCCGCACCTTGGTGGTGGTGCTCGAATCCTTAACCACCGCGTGGTGAGGCAGGTAATATCCGTCGTCGTCCGCGGGGTCTTCGATTACGGAAATGTGCTTTAGCCTTATATATTCTTCCATCGCTCGCGAGTAATCGATCTTAAATGTTTCGTTTGCGTTGAATTTTTGCTCCAACGCTAAAAAACGCTTGAATGCGATGGTACGCGATTCGCCGATGCGCTTGTTCGTTTCCCGGAATGGCAAGCGGACCGTGTAACGCCCGTCGTCCTCGCGACGCGTGTTCCTTATAAAATGCGCCTCGCAATCATTATCCTTTCCCGGATTCGATTTGTCCGCCGCGACTTCCTCGATTGTCCAAAAATTCTCCAGCTGCGATTCCAGCTTTGTTAAGTAACACGCCCCGGTACCCGTCGGATTGTGCAAGGCCGCACTGCCGGCGACTACCCAACCTAAACGCGTTTTTTGCAAATATAAATCGTGCCCCTCATGCGACAAGTTTATTTGCCCGATGGAGAACAATGATAAGGTCGCCCCGGAACCGATCAATAAATCAATAGGGCGCGGCAAATGAAATTCGGGGTCCGCTAATTTGACGTTCGGCGGTACTTTAATCGAGCTTCGCGGGAAGGCCTCAGACGGAACTAAGTCGGTAATCGTCGGCATTATCAAACACGCAATTTCCTTGTGAAAGTCGTTACGCATCGACTGCACGGTGATCCGGACCATGCCCTTCGAGTAAGTGTGCATAGCATTAATCGCGCCGACCGGCGTCGCGTGCGGGATCACAGGCGCGTTTAATTGCTTCACGATACGCTCGCTGATGAAGTTAGCGGTCGCACCGGTGTCTAGCAACGCGCGACACTTAACCGAGCGATTCGCGCCGACGCGAATGTATATCATCGCACTCGTCAATAACTGTGGCGCCACGTTCCGGGATAATGCTACGAGGCTCGTCGCTCTGCTCGCGATCGGGCCGGCTAGTCAAGACTGAGTTGCGTCAGCCCTTGTCGCGTCGGGTTTTACCGCAAAATCCTCGCGATGCAGGAGAGTGTTGTGGCGTTTTTGGCAGATAGTGCAATTGGAGAACTTGCAAGGGCGATCTCGATGAGAATGCAAACAATTATAGCAGACTTTAGCGGCTCTCACCATCTCGATGCGCTTAGGCACCGGCAATTGTTTAAATTTATCGCACAAGTATAGAGGATGGCGCCGTGTTTTACATGCTACACAGTTGCGTGCGACATTTAGCATGAAAGCCTTATTTTCTGGATATTTCGGCTTTCTTTTGATCGGAGGCTCGCCCTTGCATCTCTCCGCTTCCGCTACCTTGGCTCTCTCGCGTTTAGACGCGCATACCGCGGTCTTGTACAGAAACTCGTACATTTCCTCGAGTTTGGGAAGCTCATCTCTTTCGAGAGTTTGCTCCCATTTTTCTAAGGTCACTTTCGGTAATTTACTCTCGAGGATATGAACGACCATCTCGGATCCCACAGAGATACCTAGCACGTTTAATGACGCAATGTGTTGCTGCGCGTCGTCGGCCAGCTTGGTTAAACCGCTCGTCGTCTCTTTTTCTAACACGGGCAAATTTAGAATTAGCGAAAGATGACGGGACACTAAGACTCGCTTTACCTCATAAGCACGCTCAAGCAGCTCCCATGCCTTTGTATAATTTGTTCCGTCGACGGCAAAGATCGATACCTTGCTGGCTGCGTCACCGGTTAGAGCCGACTTTAAATAATGCAATTTGTCGATTTCTGACAAGTCCGTTTGCGAACCTATCATGTTATTAAACGCGTTTTTAAACGACAGCCAATTTTCGAATTTACCGTTGAACATTGGCAGGGAGGCCTCTGGCAACTTAATTCGTCGCTTTTTAGCAACCGTCGCGGTCCCGCTATTGTCGGATCGCGCCCGATCGTCGTCGTTTAACACGCTGTTGCCTGCACTTGAAGTCGCGGTCTCATTTATTATGTCGTCTATTCTGCCCGCGAGAGCGTAGAAGCGCTCTTGAATGTTCGCGAATTCTTCCTCATGCGCGTCGCTTGGCTCTAATAACGCGAGCTCGTCATTGTATTCCTCGTACGCACGGTATAACTCGGTCAAACGCTCATTTCGGAGTTTCAACGCGGCACCATTGATTTTGTTTTTATCGAGGAGATTAGATAAGGTCGTTATTTGAGATTTTAACGACGTTCGTTTCTGAATAATGAGTCTAACTCTGTCGGCCATGACTAACGATTTGAGGAGGGATAAGGATCGAACGACTTACTTGACCTTAACGGTTGGCTACGACCTGGCGCCTTGTAGCTCTGGCACCACGGCTCTGGTCCTGCGGCTCTGGTCCTGCAGCTCTAGACCTGCGGCTCTGGACTGGATCTGAATTGTTGTGTTGTCAGGCTGCTGGCACTAATTCACCTTCGCGTAGAGGCCCGACCTCACAGGAGGCACCAAAATGTTTTGTGAATCAGCGGGGAATAATTAAACTCACACACACTGTAGTTTCGCGTGAATAACTTATTGTGCAGTTTATTCAATTTGACGATTATTATCAATTACGACACTGCGTTGGGTTCGTACATTCGCGTCGATGGCGCGTCGAAATGCTATTTTTAGTCGGTCCGTAGACCGTATCAATCGCGGATCACGGCAACGCCTGGGGGACAGTGCCCTGAGCCGGACCGCGAGATTCGAGACAGCGCCTTGGGG